TAAAGAGTAACGCGTTATAGTATCGCCGTTACTAGCCAAGCTGCTGCTTCAACTGGCGAACTTCAGCGGCAGCAAGTGGCAAGGTGGCAACACTGGCACGCGCAGCCGACGCTGCTTGAGCATGACCCTCTGAGCGCGCTCCCGCCTCCACTCCGGCCCGCCGCCCGCCTCCACCGCGCTGCGCTCTTAGTCCAGTCAACGAAATTTTTACCTTACGGAAATTATAACAAAACGTTTTTTTGCAGATTCCGGTAGAGTGACCCTTGATGAACCCCCATAATAAAGTTTACCTCGAATTTCGACCGGGAACCCATTTTTTTTGAACCGAAAGGGCGTAAGTGCAGTTTTTCAGTTTTCACGTTATATCTTCGGCCATTTTGAACGTAGAAAGGCGGGCGAGGGCTTAAATTGTCCGGAAAGGACCACTGAACAATATGTATACAACAGGTTGTTCGAAAATGTTTGAACCGCTACACTGTAAACATTTTTGTACAGTGACTCAAAAAAGTTCTGCAAAAAACTAATTTTTTTCTAGTGATCTCGTCAGAAATTTGAAAAATGTTTGAAGTAAATATTGTAGCCCGATCCTTTACCTCTCCGACGCTGTGCCGTTCACCTCTGAACTCCGAATAGCCTCTGAGCAGCACGACCTAGAGTGCGCGCCGGTAAAACGGCCCGCGCGCGCCCCATAAGAATAGCATGGGCCCGGCGGACGCGCCGGCCGGCCGGAAAACGGGGGTGAAAGGTGAAAGTTGTCCGATCGCGCTGAAATTTACACCACTTACTTGTACTACAGAGGCGCACCTTGTGTGTTTTTTTCAACTCCCTGCGATTTTTTTTGAACGAGTTATGGCCAAAAAACTGACTTTGCTGCACTCGAGCGTTCAAAAAGTCCCAACCCTGGTTCAAATTGTAAAAATAAAAATTTCACCCCCCCTACGTCCTTCACGAAGGTCTACTCTACGCCGTTGAAGTATTCGTTTTCGGCTAACTCCAAAACCACAGGCTGTGAATTTTTTTTCCCGTAAATGTTTGAGTGAAACTCTTTTGTGCTTTTTCAAATAAATGGTCCCGTAGTGGACAGGCGTGCAGCAGGCGAGAGCAAAACTACTCCAAAAACTGTGCCA